TTTTATTTATTAGTCAATTCCAAAGATAAAATTCCCCTTGTCAAGAAATCTGGGGTGTACAGACTCAATTGCAATGATTGTAACTCATCATACATTGGTCAGACAGGTAGAAGTTTTGAGACTCGTGTCTCTGAACACAGCAGATTTATTCATAAATTTCTCAATTCTGGAAAATCTAGTACATCTTCCTTTGCCAATCACATAATTGATTCAAACCACAGTTTTAATGTTAATTCCAATATGGATATCATTCATGTTTGCGATAAAGGTAATCGGTTAAACCTTCTGGAGATTTTGGAGATACAAAAATGTATTAATAATCCGGATAGCATTTGTTTAAATGACCAGACTAAATTTAATCGGAATACCATTTTTCGCACTTTACATTTTTCATAATTTTTGTGAAATTTGTTAATTACAGTTTTCCTTACGCTGGAGCCGACTCTGTCTCCACTTGCTTGACAGACTTGTTTTCGGCTTCTTCTCTGTTTACCATTAACAATCCTTCTTCCTTTTGTTATTGTATATTCAGGGCCCTTTCACTTATCTCTCTATCATCAATTTCTAATTTTAATAATTTTATTGCATTATATAATTTAGGTTTTTGAATTACGCTTTCTCTGTAATGTTGTTGGTTGTTTTTCGATATGAATTTTAAATTGATATTGTTTTTCCCAATTTCATTCTTTGAATTGTCAATAATTCTATGTCAAATGTCAATTTTCACATTCCCATCTTTGCTCCACTATATAATTCTTTCTTTTGATGGCTTGCCTTCGAAGCAGATGAAGCTCCTTTGAGTAGATTTTTAAAAAACGTGTCTTCTCCTTGATGCCAAACTTACTTATTTTGAAGTTCTTTTGGCTTTTTAGCCGCTACAAAGATTACTAGTTCTACCGGATTGATTTGTAACGATAACTTGACCAGTGCTTTTATTTTAAAAATTTTCAAGATGTTTTCTCCATAGAGGTATGTTCTTTTCCAGCTGCCATATTATTTAGATTAAGAACTGTTCGAATTTTTCAGGTACTTCATTATAATTTTTGTGTCTGAAGATGGCCGTGTGGCCGAAACTAGTTACATTGAAGGTTCTATTATATTTTGTGGTCGACCGACTTTGAGTTATTGTTTTTTTCTCCTTTTGACTTTACTCAACGATCAACTAGACCATAATAGTTCACCAATGTTGCATTTGTATTCTAATGTTCTGTGGGTGGCTAATCTCTGGTATTCGCTATCGACCCTTTCAAGTTATTTCAGTACGTCGTATTTTGATGTAGATATTGTGCCTATTTTTCGAAAATAAAGGTTTATCAAACCTTCCCACAGGTACTTCCAATCCCTCAGGTTGGGAAAGTAGGATATATTAAAGTTAGGCAAGCCAAGGTTAGTTTTGTTCATTGTACCAGTATCACACTTGATGAATAAACTCCTGTGTTAGCGGAACATGTCGTGTGATTGAGAATTATTATCGTTCGTGAAGTTTTCACATTCACAAAACAGTTTATACATATTGTACTTGCATATTTCACCAATGAAAATGTTAAATGTTAAGACAGCTGATTTAACCCAACATTCACCAGAAAACAAAATGCAATTCACCATGTGATTCAGAAACCCCGTCATATCATTGTTTTTAACATATATGCAGATATTCTGCCTAACAATTGATGAAAATCGACTAAAAACATTATTTCAAAATGAACACATGTCAAGTATCACAGTAATAGTCAAAACTTGGCTTTTTATTGATTTTTTGTCTATCTTGGAAATTAATAACCTCCTGTGTACTCACGGTGTTTCTGGAATATGTGATTCAGATGAAAACTGAATGGAATCATACTTTATCTCTGAAGTGAACAGGAGATCATATTCCGTATAACTCATATTATGCCATTGGTGCTTATCACAACTTCAATTACGAATCTACCATGTTTGACATCATGTGTGTATACACAAAAAAGACATATTTTCATTGTATTCAATAATATCATTCAAGTTATCTGTTAACCTGCGTGTGTTTCAGGATGATGATAAAAAGAGAGTTTTGTCTTCTGAACCTATAGGACCTACCAAAGAATGTGTTCTGATGAAAAATTAAAATTCTCACGAATAATAATTGGAAGTGGTGAACTTTCTCCATGATATCCCTACTTTCGAGTTTCTGATTCCTGAAGGAATTGAAAATAAAGGTCGAAGTGATATTTGTTCACGATTGAAATTTTGATCATTATACTTGAAAGAAAAATCGATGAATCATCATCATCCGTTTCAGGTGCCTTTTTGAAGTATATTCATGAGAATACAAATCAATGAAAATAAGTTGGAAGCTAGAATCCTTTAGAGAGTCATATACCTACATTTTCTCTTCATCAACTACATTATCGATCATTCCGGAGGATGTATTTTCTTCAGTCCTAAATAGAAGATTTCAACAGGTGCCTACCATTGTAAACTTACTCTTTCTTTTTATTAAGATGCTGAACTGCTTTTGGATTTGTTTTCTGGGAAACTTAGGGCAACGTTTTTTCGCTGTTATGATGACGATTGCACAGCGGCTCATGAGATTCTCTTGTACATGAGTTGGATTGTCTGTATAATACACTCAAAGAAATAGTATGGGTTGAATTGACAAAAAAATGTGTTTAATCAATAACATCATTATAATTGTTGAATGAAACTACAATTATGGTACATTCAATGATTAGGTGATCGTCAAAACAATTGAGGAAAAATTGTACATAAACAAACATATTAGTTGGTTTTGATGATATTTTTGTAGTACAACCAATAATTTGTAAAAATTAGTTAAATCGAACTAGGAATAGTATTTCAACAACATTATAACTGTAACTGAAATATCATAATAGCTCGCTCACTGTTATATTTGATAGACAAACGAATAGGAAGTTTTAATCAACATAGTATTTCAAATCAAACTAAAGATAATATCTCAACTATATTATATTGTAACTAGAATATCATTAGAGCTTGCTCACTGTAAAAGTTGGTGATCAAACGAAAAGGAAGAAAAAATCAACCTGCAACCTGCTGCAACTATTTCAATTCACTCTAAATATAGTATTTAAACTATATTATGTTGTATAACTGATATATTATTACAGCTCGTTCACTGTCATAGTTGGTAGACAAATGAACAGTAGCTTGAAATCAACCAACCTTCTTTGAAGGGTTGAAAATGAGCTTGTGATCTTCCTAATGGTAAGGTCCAATCACGTTAACTTTGGGACAGCACGTGGTCATGAATGCATTGGATATGCATAAGCGTTGCGTCATGTGGTGTCCCAAAGTTACCGTGGTCGGACCCCAGACAGCACCAGATATTCCATGAATCTCCCTATCATATTCCTTTTGGAATATTGAAATATTCTAGAAATAATCTGGAATATTCCGGAATATCTGTGGAATATTCTCTAAATATGCGAATGGGAATTCCTCAGATATTCATAGAATATATCCAAAAGAATATTCCATGTTGAATATTCCTGGAATATTCCAATAAACATATTCTGAAATAAAAAAAAAGTGGCCCTAGTAGGGATCGAACTCGTGACCTCAAGACTATCAGACCAACGCCTTGACCACTAGGCCAGTAATCGTATTGAATAATGTTGTACATATCAATTTCTTGTGAGAGCGTTGTTCGAAATCGGATCATAAACACTTTTTGTTTCAAAATCCCCTTACATATAGTTTTGATGTTCGATACTCACAACTCTGAAATAATGATGGGTATTTATGTGTTGAGAAACATAGGAAGATTCATGGAATATTTCATGAATATACACCACAGAATATTCAGTTGAGAATATTTCATGAATATACCGGACAGAATATTCAGTTGAGAATATTTCATGAATATACCCCACAAAACATTCAGTTGGGAATATTTCATGAATATACAAGAGAGAATATTCATTTGGGAATATTCCTGGAGAATTCATGCCTGAATATTCCCTGAACATCACTTTGGAATATTCCTTATCGATGTTCCAGAGGCATGTATATATTCTAGGAATAATAAATGAATATTCGGAATATACTCCTCCTTTTCAGCATATTCATAGGATATTCTAGGAATATCCAGTGCCGTCTGGGACTCTATTTGCAGGGTGACAGCGTCCATATGAGATTTTGTTGCAGGCGTCTTATTTTGTTCTTTGTGTTGTGGCTTCATAATATTTTGATATTATCAATTCACGTTTTACCTATTCTACAGTGAAGTGATTTTGGTAAGTCGATTATGTAATTGAGCTGTAATTGAGCACCGCGGCACGAAACCATAGGGAATTGGCCCACAGTGGGATTTGCCTGAAATTCACATTTGTTATGGGTATGGAGTTTCTGATCAAATGTTTTCATGTGACCAATCCTCTAAGACCTAAGATTCAGCACTCAGGGTCGTATTTAGTATAGGTGCCAAATAAACAATGACACTTTTTTTTCAAGCCCATGATTTTTGTACATCCCATTATAATCAAATATAATGAGAAATGTTGTGGAATCTTGGCATTTGTCTTTCAGCACAAGTCCTCTGTAAAACATGCCTTGTCCTACAGAGCCGTATTTAGTAAAACTGTATTTGCCAAAGTGCCGAATCGAATTGATCTTGTTATTACTTTGTTATTTCTTGTCCTATTTCAGTGGTCGTTTGATAGATGAATGTAGATTTCTTTGAGTACATAACAAAAGTGGTCACCATCTTGATATTGAAGATGGTCGGCCTAACATTCAATCTTTATAAAGGACATATCTCGTAGCTTTTAAGGAATGATAGTAACAGAAAAAGATTAGAACACGTTTCGATTGCTGAAATCGGTCATTTACTTTTTCAATTACCAAACTCTATAATATAAATATAACTCTATACTATCTAATTCAAACTTCATCTAATTCATAACTAACAAAGTTGAAACCGATATTTACAGGGTGGTGTAAAAAACAGTCGAGCACTCACTATCAACCTAATTCCCGAACACTTACAGCTGCTGCAGTATTGCATCTTGCACTGGACGATTTGCGGCATCTTTGATATGCTGTATTACAGAAGTCGATGGATAAATCACATTTTGATTATGGCGGACAAATCCTAAATACCACAATATGCTACAAATAAGAGCACATGTTCCTAGTGTCCTTGCACTTGATTTGCAACTGCAGTAGTATCCTATTATCAATACATCTTCTTCATCATTCTCGTCAGACTGGTATTTCATGCGGAGTGTATTGAATAAATACTTGATATTTTTCTCACCTCCTGAATCGAGAATACACTCTAAGTCTGATGAATCCAGGTTCATTCACTCTGAGATCAATTTCAAACGACTCATGATCATCTCTAACTAGCATATTGTAGTATTTAGGATTTGCCCGTCATAATCAAAATGTGAATTACCCATCGACTTCTGTGTTACAGCATATTAAAGATGCCGCAAATCGTCCAGTGCAAGATGCAATACTGCAGCAGCTGTAAGTGTTCGGGAATTATGTTGATAGTGAGTGCTCGACTTCTTTGTACACCACCCTGTAAATATCGGTTTCAACTTCGTTAGTTATGAATTAGATGGAGTTTCAATTAGATAGTAGAGTTATATTTATATCATAGAGTTAGGTAATTGAAAAAGTAAATGACCGATTTCAACAATCGAAACGTGTTCTAATCTTTTTCTGTTACTATCATTCCTAGAAAGCTACTATGTCCTTTATAAAGATTGAATGTAAGGTTGACCATCTTGAATATTAAGATGGTGACCACTTTTGTTAAGTACACGAAGAAATCTACATTCATCTATCAAACGACCACTAAAATAGGACAAGAAATAACAAAGTAATAACAAAATCAATTCGATTCGGCACTTTGGCAAATACAGTTTTACTAAATACGGCCCTGTAGGACAAGGCATGTTTTACAGAGGACTTGTGCTAAAAGACAAATGCCAAGACTTCGCAACATTTCTCATTATATTTAATTATAATGGGATGTACAAAATCATGGGCTTGAAAAAAAAAGTGCCATTGTTTATTTGGCACCTATACTAAATACGACCCTGAGTGCTGAATCTTTGGTCTCAGAGGATTGGTCACATGAAAACATTTGATCAGAAACTTCATACCTATAACATATGTGAATTTCAGGCAAATCCCACTGTGGGCCAATTCCCTATGGTTTCGTGCGGGGTCCTTTGATAATGAATTAACACACTGTTAGAAATTATTGCTTAAGTTCGTCTCTTTTCCTCAGGACTCTCTTCAATTTTTGGATCAATTAGTTCAGAAGAAGTGGATATATCCCAAGGCAGGTTGTATATGACAAGTTCTAGAAGATTGAGAAAATTTTGAAATCTTTCGTCAAGGAGTACCACTGATGTAGTCTTTCCAATTATAGTCATGATGAGAAAAAATCATCAGATGATCCTAATTATGGGATGGTGAGTATTATTCACGAATTCAATCAATTCAATATTGAATTCATATCTCGAATCTATAGATTTCTTGCAGGAAGAAGATGATGAACTGTGGTAGTAATTGAATAACGCCATTGAGTGTCATAAAAGATAAATGGAAGAGTACATTCAAATAACGGAGACAAGAAATTACAAATGAAGAGCATCATACTGTAGATATTTTATAAAGTTGACCTCCATGTAATGAGTAAAATTGATGTTAATTCAAAATCTGAAGAATAGTCAATATACCAATATTTACTATGCACTTTGTTGGTGAACCAAATATTATGGCTATCTATACAAAATATAAGTGAAGGGACAAAAATGATGGTGAACATACCACTCATTATGTTGTGAGATCAAAATCTATCTATTCAACTATTGTTTGCTGGTCGATTTAATCATTGAACCAGATCGGCTCATTTCCATAAATCCTTTTTGGTTGATTTAACCCATCATTTTCTTTAGTGAATCGAATGATTGGCTAGAATAACACATTGCTATCGGTTGGAACAACAGAAACACATTTGGGGAAAAAAGTAATCATCAATTTGAGCTACTCATGACTGAGAACAAAGAATGAAGTTTAGAGACGCTTTTAGATAAATTCCAAGAACACGTTCGGGTGGATTAGGGTCCTCTAATGGTGCTCGGTTTAGAATCTGGATCGTAGTCAGAAAGTAGGCTGGTCCTATGGCAGACGGAAGGATACAAATGGATGCTCTGGGAGGGTTTCATCCATCGATCTGGAAACGCAACTCGATACGACTCACACAAAGGAAAAGTTTACTCGTGGTCATTCATTCCATGTCACAACAAACAGAAAAACTGTTTTATCGGCAACCGTGTAAAATAATAGAACAATGAGACAGATTTCTCCATCATATCCTTTGTAAAACGAAGTTTTGAACATTTTTAATCTTATTTGTGTCAAATATTGAATGGCATTCGGAATATTGAAAGGCACATTTTCTTACTCACTATCGCTGCTGATTTAATAGTTTATTGCGATGCTTATAGCGACCAGAAACCATGCAAACTTTCAGGGATGAAAATGTCAACTAATTACATGTGAAATAGCTGTCAGTCGTTATTCCGCTGCTATTGGCAAGGTGACGATTCCGATACGGCACCTGGTGGGCAAATTTTAACCAGTTTAGGACGTAATTCAAGGTCATGTTTGTTATTGTGTTAGCGTTAATCTTCTTTGATTGTGTTCAGTGGGTTTCATATTTTATGAATACCGATTCAACAAATTACGTTAATTTTCTCTTCTTGCGTCTCTTGACTCTTGAGTACAAGACATGAACTTTATATCAATTGCCTAGTCAATTCTATATTATTTTATAAATTAGTATCAACAAATCTCTGATAATACGCGAAATCAACTGTGTTTGGTTGCTGGTTGAACTAGTATAGAAGGTTCCAATGGATAAATGTAGGACCTATAATATGTCCTCTAATCTCTAATATGAATTTCCTGCACTCAAGAAGTCTTTTCTGATGATGAAAAATCAGTTCAGTTGAATGGAAAAAATGGATAAACGTTGAGAATCCAATATGAGTTTGAAAACTGGATGTATGCAGCTCCAACAAAAACTTCCTACCTTTCTTCAATCCATTGGTCCATAAGGTAAATTTGTGATTCATTGATATATTTATTACTGATGAATAACTCTTATTTGCAGTGCCTATCTGAGAGAGAACATGATTGAAATGATCAACAGTTCATACCTATTTTGTAGGTATATGGGGAAATGTCTCCAGGACTTGGAAAAATAAGTATGGTTGTTTTTCTTTCAAATATTTTTATAAGAAAAATAAAGAAGCAAATTCAATGCCTTTGACTTTTGAACTGCAATACACAAAGCTGGGCAAGAAAATAGACATTATGAACATGTGCAGGTGGGTAATTTATGGTTTTATTTGTGATGCTTAACTCATATAAAAATCTTGTTCATGACATCCTGCCTAGGCCTCATATCCATAGATTCCTATTTTGTAGTATCATCTTTGTAGTAAAATAGCCAATGCAGATTGCATGTACTTCCGAAATTATTAAGTTAAAATACAGCTCCCAATTACATTCATATAAGCAAAAACAGTAGCATATTTTATAGATCTATAATAACCCTGATACAAGCAGGTCATTGTAGGTAGCTTACTTCATAGCTTGAATTGAATCTTTGAACATACATTGAAGTGACACAATCTATTTGGATATTTAGATGGTGTAATAGCTAATAGATATGGTTTGTTTATAGTAGGTACTAACATTTCTTCAAGTTTTCAGCAGGGGAGGAGTTGCCATCCAGGGTATCTTGCAATTGAGTGTGAATAGTTACACAAATTGAAACCAAAACCCAGATTCCTTGAAGTTGAATTCAAGTTCTTGAGGAGATATCACTTATTATTTGGGTACCTGAACATATCCATGACATTTCAAATTGTATCTTGGAAAAATGTATTCATAATTTTACTGCTTGTATGTTATTATTAAACTGTATTCATTCATAAGTAAAAGTTCTACTTTTTTTTTCTGTTTTGTAATATTTTATTGTAGGGTTTCAAAATTCATATTTCAATTCCACAACTACCTCAATCAACACCTCATTCTTTTTTTATGCAATTTCAAAGTTTCGCTTTATAATCTTCACTGATTCCTTTTAAAATAGGTACCTACCAGGTAGATACTTACTTTTGCTCATTGTTAATTTATTTCTACATATATGAAAGTCCTGGATTACAAATTCATTTATAATTGTAAATTTTTATGAAGGTATCTTGTAAAATAATTCAGGGAAAAACAGTATACATGAGCACTGAGGGAAGGAGTATACTGGAAGATCCTTCTATTTGTAGGTACTTCTTTCTTGACTTCTATGGAGTGGCATAAGTACAGAGTGAAACACATGTTATGTCAATGTACTTTCATTTTAGAAAATTATTATCAATTCAGTTCCAAAATATACAAAACATAATGAACTATACAGATTGATAAGATAGATATTTTCAATTAGATGAATTTAGGATTACAAAATGATATCAAATCACAAAATTTATGATAATATACTCTGTGTAAATACATTAACTGAAATCCTAGAGGTCATTTGATCAATGTTTTATGTGGTGGAATTCCAAATTATTCAATGATTTCATCAAACTGGTAAAAAAAAACTAGCTTTACAAGATATTAAATGAATTCCAAGAAGAAAACTCAGTCTAGGATGCCACCTACCTCAACTCTAAGTACCTATATTAGGAATATTCACATTATGAAAAGTGTGTTATATGGATACAATTCACACACATGGCACATAGGATCATGACAATTTGCTGTTATTGCAGTGAAGCACCATAATATATGAGGTATCGGAGTTGCACTGTAAACAATCCTCAAAGCCTGGAAATAATATTGTTGAAGATAGGCCATTGATAGTTGTATCTACTATTAAATCCACAGTAATGTCAGGATGCCTTTGGTGTTGAATTATCAACTCATTAGAGCTGGTTGCTGCTGATTTCTATTATTGTATGGATCAATTGCACATGATTCTGATGGCTATAATATTTAGCACAAAATAGTCGAATAGGTTAACACATTGTTTAGGGATGGTTTTCAATATGTTCACAGAAGGCTGTTCACTGTTGAAAAACTTCACTCCTGGTATCACCATTTTATGTGTTCTGTAGGATCCTTTTGCTTGAATAGTGGAGTTATAGAGGTATTATGGTGAATATATCAGCCTCTGATGTTAGTGGATATGCTTGTGATTTTTGATATCCCATAAAACTGTCCCACAGAAATGCACTGGTTTGAAGAAAGCTCAGACTATTTGGTCCACGATTCAGTCAGTAGGTAACAGTTATTTTCCTCACATCACGATGAAACAGTATGATCCAACAAAAAATATTATGATTTCAGTAAAAAGTTCAACAATAAACTCAAATAACATGATGAAATATCAAGAAGAAAATGTAATCAAATCTCAAGAAATTTTGTAAACAAACTACACACTCTTTGCCGCCATCTTGTTTTGAAACAGCGCCCCCAACGGTCGATCACCTTGCCAATTGTAATGATCCTCTGC